CCCACTTTTGTCCGAGAAAGGGGTGGGTATACCCACTTTTGTCCATTTCCCTTTAACTAAAGAGCAAAATAAACAAATAAACTGTTCGGCTTTTTCTAAGTTGAAGCTGAGCACCGAACGCGTTGGGGAGAACGATAAAATCAACCAATCGCCACGTTACTTGGCCCAAGACAGAACTAAAGGAAGTAAGTGACATCGGCGAAGCTTCGGTCTCGATTCGTGCTCTAGGAGATGAGATATTGCGGTTGCCGTCGCTGGAGGCTGCTTTTTTGGAGAGAGAGCAAGATAGAACACGCATTTCGAGCGTTTTGTGTGTTTCGCTGCCAGATATCTCGCTCTAAGACCGCTGGCTGGCGCCTGCGACACACCAGCAGTGTCTGCCATACCACTAGCTACCTTGGGTGGGTTGGAGCACCGCATCGCCTTCTTTTTCGTGATGCTAGCCCCGGGTTTAGCCACCCTCTGTGCATGGAGGGGTCAAAGGCTCTTTGAAGTGTTGTTCGTCAGTTTGTAAAACTCCGCCCCTCGCATTTTCGCATTTTTCCATTCAAGTTACAGCTTTGTGTGTCACCCTGCTAGGCCAACGACCACACCATGCCTTACTCTAGGGATTCCTCGCACTTTCCACACGCAGATTCCCTTTGCGGTACCGCCTGCAACACTCGCATCCCGGTATATACGACGTATATAGCACACCCTACAGTGTATTTCACACACACCCGTGATATGTAGGTAGTTTGGACAGGTTTCAAGTTTCAAAATGGCAAGATGACCATGCGATTGATCACCGGGGCACGGTGTATATCACACCCCGTAAGTTCACAACGGGCCGCCGTCGATATCACCGGGGGTGGTTTTCAGCACGGCCCCCCACACCAGCGGGCGTTTGAGGGACGCACAGGTGTGCGAGTCTCTGCCATGGAGACCACTAGAGGCATGGAGGTACAGAACTCACAAAACGCTTCCACCTCCACGGCCTCGACTGCGGTGGCTGCAGGCTCGATTACCTCTTGCTTTCGCTCCCAAACCTCTACACCTGCTGCGCCCGCTGCTGTCGAGGTTCCCGCGACAACCGCTGCAAAGTGTGCCAACTACCAGTAGTACCACTCCCACATCAGCACTGATTTTGCTGAAGTGGCTGCTGAGTACGGTAGTATCCATCATGCTACAATATAGCTTTACAGCACTTTCGCGTCAGCGGCCGCGCAGTCTGGTATCGTTTTTGTTTTGGGGGGGGGGCTTGTTTGTCTGCTGTCGTGGTTCTTTGGGCCTTCTCACTGTAGACCGATTTTGTTTTGTGGTACAGCAGTAGTACTCGGTGTCAGGAGGGGATGTGGCTATCACCCGGTCGATTCACTTTTCTTGCCGTCAATCAGGGTGCCCGCGAAGAATCTCGTGGTTTTTTTCTTCTGGTAGAGATAGTTTCTTCCAAGAGGTTTTTATTCAAACGAGAGAAAGGGAAAGTACGCGCACCGTCTGTGGGAGGGGTGCCATAGCACATCCTGTACACATGCTATAAACCAACGCATCTTGGTGTGTCTGAGGTGATGTTGCCTGCGCTGGTGGTGTAAGTGCGGTGCATGGGTTGGTTGTGCGTGGTGTGTGAAACTACTCTACTTTGCTGCTGTCCTCCTACAGACATGTTCATCATGTTACACTCGTGTTGCTCAGTGAGGGCGATATTATCTTTTTTTTAACTCGGGAATTTGGTCGAGATGACATTTTTCCATCCCATAAAAATCATGAAAGTGAAGTCTTCGTCATGAACTCAGTCAAATTCGGAATTTTCCATTATGCCCGAGAAGGCTTTCCCGGATTCCAGTTAACAAAAATCGAGAGTTGCGCGTCAGCTTGTAACTACAGCACCGCTTCCTCCATCGCCGGATCAATCATGTTCCCCCGATTGTATTTTGGAAACCGAAAATCGTGTTTAGTGCGGTCCGGTCTCAACAGGAACCACGACTTGTCGAAGCTAAGAAAGCAGCACACTCTAATGGATGACGCGTTGTACATGAAACACACACCTCGTGATTTCTCGCACTTCGCTGCCGGGAGCTGTTTATTGACGTTTGCGATATTTTTCCTTCGCTACTGTGGACAAACTACCACGACTGTACTCAGCTGGAAGTGTTCTTCCTTTCGTCCGACCACACGCTATTGATGCCTGACATCAACTCAACAAATTATAGAGTATTGGTTACCCGTTCAAGACTTGGTTATATTGAAGGTTGTGTCTATATATCCCGCGCATTATCCGTTTCGGCAATCGCCTGTCTTGTGGTTGACAACAGCCCCGGCAAAGAAGCGTCCCGTTCCTGTGGGTAGTGTCTTTAGGCACGTTGCTTGTATGCAGAAGTCAATGTACTTTATTCTCCGCCTTGTTCTTTGTTTTCGCGCAGGACAATGACGATGGCTAAACAACCGCCAACAGTCATGGTGCTCGGGAAATCTGGCGCGGGCAAATCGACTCTGTCCAACTATTTCCTTTACAACTCCCCCAGACATGATGATGGCTTCAAAGCGGGAAAAGGTGGTACCCCCGTGACAGTCAAGTGCGAGGCAAAATCGGTTGAAGAAACTCCAGCCCCCGTCGGGACGGGAAAGCCTTGTGGGCCGCTGACGATGATAGATACTCCGGGAATACCCGACCCTCGCGGGCGGACACCTGAGTTCTACGACGAAATAGTCCTTACGATGAGGCGGATCGGTGGTCTCAATGCCCTCGTATTCTTGATCAATTACTGCGACGATCGTGCTCAAGTCCTTGAGGACTTCAAGACGCACCGCATCCTTCTGGAACAGTTCAACGGTCTCGTCTGCCCAACGGTATTCATTTGCCGGTTCAGCAGCAACCCCGATCTGCAGGACTCGGAAAAGGAGGTGGAGAGGGAGACTGTGCAGAAATGGGTCAAGCTTCTCATGGCCGAGGTGAAGTTGGAAACATCTTGCCTGATACTCGTGAACCAATCCGAGCCCCAACGCGAGCCGCTGTTCAAAGCGCGGCAAAATTTGGCTGAGCTACCCTTCACTCCCATCACGGAAATGAATATTCGGACTTGGGACAAGGTGGGGAAGAGCATGCGTCGTTTGGTAGACGGGGACACTCGCCGTGAGGAGCTGGAGGAGAAAAAGCGTATTTTGACGACGTTGAAAGAGCAGGGTCGGGGCTACTGCAACGACCTCCAGATATTGAGCAAGGAGGATGATGCCCCCAAGGATGCTCCCATGCCCGGTGGCTTCTGGGGCGCCATCTGTGATTTCTTCAAGTCGTTGTACCTGTTGATCGAGCTCCTGTTGGCTTTGTGGGAGAAGAAGGAAGCGGATATTGACGGGCAGTTGCAGATTGTGCAGAGGGAATTGGATGGAGACGACAACGTCAAAGTGATGGCACTCGAGCGCGACGTGAACGCGCTGCGGGAGCTGGAAAAGCTGGACCAGATGTTTGGTATCCCTAACGTTGATTCCGGAGAGATCGTGGAGCCCCAAGAATTGGGGGTCGCTGGTGAGTGCGCATTGCGTGCTGACATCCCAGAGCAAATACAAAAATTAGCCTCGGCTGTTTCATGATTTTTTCGCCTGGCCCCGTCGGCTGAGGTCTGGATATCTCGTCGGCCAGTTTCCTACGCTTAGGTCTTCTCTTGATCGCGAATCTCTCGGTTGTATCTCTCGGCTTTTCAACAGGGGACGAATGGGAATTACTGGCGGAAAAGTTGCAGGCTGGTGAGAACTACCCTTCGAAGGATGGCCGTATCCGCCTCAGCGTTCAGCGCGGCAGCCTCAGTGGCCCTGAACCAGGCCCCGTTCGCCTTCGCTTTTCTACTCAGCTTCTAAGCTGCAAGGGTCAAGACTACTTTACCAACACCATCGTCCACTGTCCCCCAGATAATCACTTCGAAGAGCCGCTGCTGCTTGACTTCTTTCTTGACGACCCTGCCGTAAGCAACGGGAAAGCGACCCTGAAACAAGTTCTCGAGCGCTACCAGGTATTTTTTCGCAAGGCGTCGCACACTTGCTCCATTCGATAGAGTACGGAACCCACCCGCCTTGTTGCGGTGTGTTGGGTCGCCACACAGGTCAACACTACTGCACCAGAAAAAAATCTAATATACCCCAGAAAAGAATATCCGAGGTAGAGGTGGAAATACTTCGTCTTTTCCGATATATTTACAAACTAAACGTGGTTGTTGGTTGCGTGGGATACGTCGGCGTTTTCTCTTTGCAGATTCTGCGCATGAGTCACGGTGAAAACGAATGGCAGCCGTTGGAGCGTCACGACATGACCATGGTGGAAGACCGCGGTGCGATCTATCTGAGGGCTCAGGTTTACCACTTTACGTTGTTCTCCTGCTGCATGAAGTGCGACCCTACAGGCGGGATGACGTGGTTCAGCCACACGGACAAGCAGGGGGTGCTAGTGCACAATGATACCAACCAACAACTGTTGTTAGTCGTGCTGCCCACGAAGTACGTGGCTGTCTGTGACAAGCGACACGCCGTTCAGCTTACAGTAGGTGGGTCACTACCTGGTGGTGAAGGTATTAATGTCGGTGGGAGCTTCGAACCCCATGTGCGAACCGAGTATGTGTGGTTACCCCAAGGGGAAGCCCCTTCGAGTCAAGAAGTCTTGCCAGGGGCGCAAGAGCAAAAGCTGAGGCTGCGAGAGGTTGAGTGCGTAGAGCGTCTCATCATCTGCTCTACATGTTTCGTACCCGAAAAGCCCTCCTCGACCCAAGCTACACCCCCGTCACGCCCTAGCCCTGGGCAGATGGCCCCGTTGTCGACTGTCCGTAGCGGCGAAGACGAATATCGTTTGGTGGAGTTTTATGATGACCCCATGGTTAAGGGGGGCGACGGCCTCGTCATTCATCAGTCCCGTTTGGATGCTCGGCCCCGGGATGAGTGCTTGGTTCGTGCAAAGGGGGTGGACCTTAAACATGTTGCCATGTTTCTTGCAGGCCTGGGTGGAGGTAGCGGAGAGGAGATAAAAGACGCAGAGGAGATTAAAGGCGCAGATGAGACGAAAGAACCTAGTGCGAAGTGGTACTCCCAAGTTATTCCGTTAGGGGGTACGGATGACCATGTTTTGCGCTCCGGGCATCGGATCCCATCATGGTCCAGTTGTTGTTTTCATTGGGGAGAACTTTTTGGGGAATGTTTTTTTCGAATGGGAAGGTTTGTTATGTCGTGGATATATATCCAGGTGGAGGAGGAACACCGACAGCTTCCACACTCATAGCACCTTCGAGCACAAAGGCACATTGCACACTTCGAAGCATTGTGTTAACCCAGCATGGTACACACGGTGTTGCACGTGGCTGTGCTTGTTCGTGTGTCACGTCTTTTTTTTATTGGTTGATTGTTGATTTTCGTTGGATCCAGGCAAAAGACAATACCAGCTCTGCACCAGATTTTCGTATGCTTTAAAATAGCGTGAAGGGTTGTCAGCGGGGGGGCTAAATTGTGTCTCTTAATGAGGGTTCGGAATTTCCTCGAGGTTTCCAGAGTCGGAGCGGGCAAGCAAAAGCAGTCAAATCCAATATTTTTGGTTGGGCGTCCTGGTGTTGTTCTGGAAAGTGGTAGGCTGTAGTACATTTGTCTGTGCCAGACCGTAGAACATTCTAGAGGTTCGTGAGGGCACCCGAGGAAAGGATTCGCTAAATGGCGGCGATACCGCAGAAGGACGGCTGGGTGGCACTCGGGAGAGGAACCCTTCGATGCGACGGCTCGGAGTAACCTTCAGCAGATAAGAATGGCAAGGCCGGGTAACGTCTTCTTCGAGTTCTGTCGAGGCAATGAAACTAAAAGACGGCAAAGACCCAAATTCTTTCGAAGTCGGCCTGTTCTTGTCCAATCCCTTGCCACAAGGCTTCCGAGGAAGTGAGTCGGCGCCCGTCTTTGCCTGCTTTCCATGAGCGAAGCAGAGATACCCCGCCGTTGAAGTGCGTCGTATGTGGTCAATTTACCAATACGTTATTTTTATTATTATTATAATTTTTTTTTCGTTTGCCATCCGACAATTGCAGATTTAGTAAAAAAACACGAACACATGACTTTTTCTACTCGATGCTTGATCTAAAACTTATGATTATACAAATATAACACGTGACAAACAAAATCAACATGATCGGTTTACCTCAACAAATTAATACCCCACTCAAAATACTCCATATTCTGCTATTATTATTATTATTATTTCGTTTGCCATCCGACAATTGCAGATAAATATCAATATCAATCGTAGCAAGGCCATACAACTAACCGAGAAACTTCCAAATCTATGTGATGCTCGACATACCTACTCATGCGTGCAGTATTCACACACTGTGAAATTCATATTCAACCAACACCAATCAAACAAAACTACGCCCTTCCCTCTTTAGCACTCCCCAAAACCCATCGAACAAAGCCCCGCTTTCCACCGAAAGTGGTAAGGTTAAAGCTGCCGCGCGCATATTTCGGCGCGCAGAAGTACATGCGGCGAGGCTGTTCAATACTGATTTCGGTCGCACCAAGAGAGAAGCACCCGCCGTCTTGCTCTCTCCGAAGCCCCCCCATTTCCAATCCCTCTCCTCCAACGTCTCCACTGCAACACCCATGTCCTACCACCTTGCCACCTCCAACTGCAAGGACCAAGTCCGCCCCCCTCAGCACTCCCCAAAACCCATCGAACAAAGCCCCGCTTTCCACCGAAGTGGTAAGGTTAAAGCTGCCGCGCGCATATTTCGGCGCGCAGAAGTACATGCGGCGAGGCTGTTCAATACTGATTTCGGTCGCACCAAGAGAGAAGCACCCGCCGTCTTGCTCTCCCCGAAGCCCCCCCATTTCCAATCCCTCTCCTCCAACATCGCCACTGCAACACCCATGTCCGTGTTGCGCCAGCGATGACACTCCTCCCTGCTGTCCTCCCAACTGGTATTGCGCCAGCGATGACACTCCTCCTTGATGTTCTCCTAACTGGCATTGCGGCAGCGACGACACTCCTCCCTCCTGCCCTCCCCACATCCCTCCTTGCTGTCCTCCGACCAACTGGTGTTGCTCCAGCGACGACATCCTTCCCTGCTGCCTTCCCCACATTCCCCTTTGCTGTCCTCCCAGCTGAAATTGCGTCAGCGACGCCACTCCTCCTTGCTGTCCTCCCAACTGGTGTTGCGCAAGCAATGACGTGCCTCCTTCCTTTCCTCCCAACTGGTATTGCCCCTGGGGCGACATCCTTCCCTGCTGTCCTCCCCACACCTTTCCTTGCTGTCCTCCCAACTGGTATTGCGCCAGCGACGACCCTCCTCCCTGCTGTCCTCCCAGCTGGTACTGCGCCAGCGACGACATTCCTCCTGGCTGTCCTCCCAACTGGTATTGCGCCAGCGATGACACTCCTCCTTGCTGTCTTCCCAACTGATGTGCATCGCAGATATGACTTACCCGGAACCAACTTCATCTCCACAACCTTCTCGTTGAAAAGCGCATTCATCCGCAACAAGAGGGGTATTGATCTTGACGTTGAATTTTTAACAAGGGCGATGGTGGTGACTTTCATCGCGGCACCATTCCACAGATAGATATAGCAGAGAGCTCCTTAAGTATGCCATGTGTACTTGTCACCGTCGGTGTCGCGGAGAAATCCCAGTTTCGAATTTTTGTGTATTTCGTCGAATATTCGAAATAACGATGTCCCGTGAACGAAACTTCAAACTTCAATTTTTGGCGGGTGCCCGTGGTCAATACAAACACATGAAGAAAGCCGAGGTCAATCGGAGTATCTGGTGGCGCGGAACCTCCACTTTTCTTACTCCGCCGCAAAAGGACCCGAACCGGAACCTTTTTCCAGAACCTTTTTTCCTCTCTCTCCGATGAACGCAAACACACGTTGACGAAACACCACGCCCGAAGCATTGGAGCCAATAGCAGACAAGAGGAGCCCCAGACAACGCTCCTAGCGACCTCTGTGGAAAAGTAAGGTGTGTGTGTGTGTGTGTGTCTGTGTGCGTGTGTACGTGTTCGCGTGTGATTTTGAACCGCACCGGCGGCGCGCGCGCATGTAAGACAACATCGATCGACCGTGCGAGCCCCACGCGCCACGGCAGTTGTTGGAATCGACGGCTTTTCCCTCCCATGATACATAGATAGCTTCTTGTGGGCCAGTAGTTTGTTTTTGGAGCGTCTCTGCGATATTGCTTTTTCAAACGACCTGAATCCTGCACGTAAGATAACACCCCCCCCTCAAATTTGCACAATATAACACCCCCCGCAGAAATTTCACGTTCCCGCCTTCCCCCCACCCCTCCAAATAAGACTCTGTCAGTACTACCCCCCCCTCCCCCATCGGGCAAATAATATTTTTGGGGGGATTGGGGTGTACTTCGCGGGAAAATTGACTTGAAAATAGACTAGTGTCTGCGCGTACACGTTTCGCTGCCCATCTTGGCTCCAAATTGTCCGTTCGCCAAAAACAAAGTATCCAAGTGTGCGCCTGGCCTAACTCAACCACACATTCCGACAAAAAATCCAAGAGCAGTGGCCAAAACAAGGTACACCTTGTTGGAATGTGGCCAAAGGAAGGTGCAGTGGAGAACCGTAAGAACTGAGGCCGAATAGAGCCACGTGATTGGTTGAAGCAGGACCTCGACCCAAGGCTGGCCAGAATTTCGGAAGGTATACCTTGCAGATGCCACTCGGCTCGCTAGACCACCTTGTTGTGCAACGGTGGCACCTTGTTCTGGCCACTTTCACACTAGATTTACCCCGGTGGCGTACCAGGTAGAGCAGGATCCGGCTTCAATTCCGATCCCGTTTTTTTTTTCTTCTAGGAACCCTATCCCTAACCCTAACCCTTCACGCTTATCAGACCACCCATCGGGGTAGCGTTGGTTAATTTCTAGGTCACCGGGCGTTGTTTAAGTTCTAGGTTGGAGGACAGGGTTAAGGCTAGACCGCGGCTGCGCCGCGGCGTGTGCACACTTTTGACAGTCTCGAGGAGAGTTGTATGCCGTTCCACCCTGCACCGTGCTTTGGCCACATTCCAACAAGGTGTACCTTGTTTTGGCCAGTGCTCAAAAATCAATCCGTGAAGATCCTGATGTTGAACCTCATTTAGCTACAAGTCGCCACCATTTTCATTTTTGATGCTGACACTTCGCACGCGTGTGCCCCGAGCGTGTGCGGTCACAAATCTAAAACAATTTTGAAATCGGAGCAAATGTCGATTGTGTAACTGGGCACACATGTGTGCCTGGGCCACATCCGCTCATCGCCTTAAAATAAACGACCAAATTCGATTTTGGCAGATTGCACCCACGTGGCCCCCTGACCACCTTTTTCCCGCCCAAACGGCGCTGTGACCATGAAATGTCCCATGTTTGTGCTTCCCTTCCCCCTTTTGTCCACCCCACGCATTGTTTTCGAGCGAAATTGACACAGGTGCCCACGAGATGCGCGAGAGATGCCCGCTGGACTGTATTTGTCAACCAATCAGCAATCGTACAACGTATCATCCACTTTTTTGTCACGATTGGGAGCCAATCAGGAATCGTCCTTAATCATACAGAGTCGTTCCATAGTATTTTTAAGTGTTTTGTACGGTTCAAGCACGATTCAAAAAAGTTGGCAGTCTTTCTGTCGGCCTTATACTAAANTTGTGTAACTGGGCACACATGTGTGCCTGGGCCACATCCGCTCATCGCCTTAAAATAAACGACCAAATTCGATTTTGGCAGATTGCACCCACGTGGCCCCCTGACCACCTTTTTCCCGCCCAAACGGCGCTGTGACCATGAAATGTCCCATGTTTGTGCTTCCCTTCCCCCTTTTGTCCACCCCACGCATTGTTTTCGAGCGAAATTGACACAGGTGCCCACGAGATGCGCGAGAGATGCCCGCTGGACTGTATTTGTCAACCAATCAGCAATCGTACAACGTATCATCCACTTTTTTGTCACGATTGGGAGCCAATCAGGAATCGTCCTTAATCATACAGAGTCGTTCCATAGTATTTTTAAGTGTTTTGTACGGTTCAAGCACGATTCAAAAAAGTTGGCAGTCTTTCTGTCGGCCTTATACTAAAGGTCAAAAGCTTCATTCTCCGAGGGCACTCCAAGTCTCATGTAGTGTCCTGCTAGAACTTCCCTTTTTCCCTTCCCACTGCTGACTAATCCACCGTTCACACCTCGCAAAGTTGCGACCCCTGTATCCCCCCCTTGCGCGGTCTTTTTTACCATTCCACTAATCCCTTCCCACATCTGCTTGACGTTTCCCTCCAG